GTATACACCCCCCGGAAAGTTTACTGTATGACTGACTGAATGAATGAATGACTGACTGAATGACTGACTGTTTCGTTTGAATTTCCCCCCAGTCATCACAATACTGTGAAGTTTCGAAGAAACTTCACACTAAAAATGGTCAAAGAAATTTTGACCATTTTTGACCATCGAAATTTTGACCATCGATGTTTTGAGCGAAGGCCCTTGGCTTATATTTTTCAAGTAGGCTAGTTGCAATGTTGCATCGCTACGAACGAAAGCTTGTTTAAAATAGCTAATCAACGGACCTTTCCCCTTATAACTAAAATTTTGATCTCGACAAAAATTTCATCACAGCTTGAAAGAGCATCACAAAATTAGTAATATTCCAAAGTTCCGTTGCGAAATGTTATAAAATGCGGATAATATAGCCTTGCGAAATTTGCCGTTTTTCAGTCATTTTGTATTACGCATGGGAAATTGACAGCCCAATCGGGTCGTGGGGCATCAATTTCCCGTTTGTAATACAAAATGACTGAAAATTGCAAATTTTGCAGGGCTAAATTATCCGCATTTTACAACATTTCGCAACGAAACTTTGCAGTATTACTAATTTTGTGATGCTCTTTCAAGCTGTGATGAAATTTTGGTCTAGACTTGTCTAGATCAAAATTTTAGTTCTAAGGGGAAAGGTCCACTCTCATGCAAACCCTCGCTTCTGAACTCTCATTCTTGTTAGACAGAGCTTAAGGCATGCAACTGTTCCTAGAATCATTGCCTTCATTGCCAGTATTGTTCGCCCTTGTGTTTACAATGAGACGGATGACGCGTTTCTGGTACAAAGCGGGCCACAGACTCACCACCCAGTCAGCAGGTGTTGGCAATTCACCAATTTTGTCGTGAGAGTTGAGGTACAAAGCCAAATTGTCAAGTCTTACAAGCTGCAACAAAAACAAATGGTAAACATTTAACTCAAAATGGTTTCACTGCACACTCTGGTTGCACCATCACGATGTTGTCAGCCTACACTTGTGAGAAAATAATGTTAAATAAAAAAATATTTGTAGTCTTGTATTTAGTGGCAAATAAATAAAATATACAAATTTTGTTTAATTTTCTGTTCCTATCAAGGTAAGTGTCTTCTTTTCTGAAGATGCCTACCAGCTGCTGTAATGACTCTCAGAGTTGCAATAATTCCAGTTAACCATACCTTGTTTACCAAGCTCTGTTTTGAGTCCACCACCACAGGTTGCCAATTATCATCAACAGACTACAGTTAAAATGAGAACAACAGCGAGTAGTAGGTATTCAAATGTAACTTTGTAACAATGGGTGTGGTACTGTAACATGGTGGTGGTGATCATGATGGTCAAGGTGATGATGATGGTTGTGATGTCTGATGATTGTGGTGGTAATGGTACAGATGACAATGGTGATGATTGTCATAGACTCATGATAATGGTTGCCATGGTGATGTTGATTATCATGTTTGTGGTGATGGTGTTGGTTGTCATGGTGATGATGAATGGTTATCATGGAGATGATAATAATGAATGGTAGTGCTGATGAAGATGGTTGTCATGGTAATGATGGTTGTTTTTATGGTGATAATGGTTGCCATGGCAATATTGAGAATTATGTTTGTGGTTGTCATAGTGATGATAGTTGTCATGGGGAAATGAATGGTTGTCATGGTAAAATGAATGGTTGTCATGGTGACGATGAATGGTTGCCATGATGATGATAGTTGTTTTCATGGTGATGATGGTTGTCATGGTGACAATGGTTGTCATGGTGATGATAAATGGTTGTCATGGTGACCGTGTTTGTCATCATTGCTCAGATAATTATGGTGATGATGGTTGTCATGGTGATGACAATTGTTGTCATGGTGATGATGATAGTGGTGTTTTACCTCAGCTGAGAGGTTCTCCAATGTGATACCAACAGAAAATGGTCCATCTTCATTGGACAACTGCAATATTATCAAATACACTGTCAGTGAGAACAATTACATCACCAAGTGACACAAACACAACATATTACAGTAGAGTATTAACAAAAATAACCACATACAGTGTCTTCGTATCTGATGTGAATATTGCTCACAAAAACCTGCAAAAAAATTTAAAATGATTAAAAATGACTCATGAATTATTTGTACAGTACAATTTCTACTGAGCAACATACGGAAACTGTCAAACCTGGATATTTTTCACAATATGCATGGCTAACTTTTCAGCAAAACTCAAGTTCTTTTCTTTCTCTTCCTCACCTTCAAAATGAGAATTGAAACTTTACATGCACAGGAATGACTACAGCTTCAATAATAAATTTGCCCCCACCACACAAGCTTTGTAGCCCCAACACATACAAAATCTTACTTTTATTTTTAGCTTCTTCTGCATATTTGATTGCCTCTTCAATTGCAGTCAGCTCTTGCTGTTTCTTTTCTTGTTTAATTTTCTCCTCTTTTACCTCATTGTATTTTATATCTGTGCACAAAAATGTAATTTATAATTCCTTTCTGCATGGGAAATATTGGTTGCCCAGTGCTATTTATTTTGATTCCTACAATAGGTAGTCTGATTATCATTTCAGTAATAATGTGAGAAGAGTGCAGAGGTGAGTAACCTGAAGTTCAGGCCCTAATTTGAAATAGGGCCTGACACAAAACCTGTCTAGACCGTGGGACGCCCACATGTTATTTTTAGACACAACATGCAATATGATTGACAAGTGCTGTAGATTTCGTTACACAAAAAATTATATTCTCATGAACATGTCCCCAGAGTGTGCATTTTGCTTTATAATTAAACTTAAAAATTCAAGGTACTTTTATATAAATAAGATTCAAACAAAGATTTAATTAGTCAGTTCTGTGCACGGCTTGACTGCCAAGCTTACTCAAGGTCTCAGTCAACTTGCTGGACGAGGATATTAGGGATATACTTTATTAAAACGGGCTAACAACAACAACAATGAAATTCTCAATCGTACCACAAAGAAGGCGATGTAGCTCAGAAAACAACGCCGGTAGGACCTGATATTAAAAATAAGACTTTTGCCGGCGAAGCCAGTTGGCAGAACATCTTGGCTATCAACAACAAGCTTTCGAATACATGACTTAGTCATGTACTAGTTTGGCTGTTCTTTCGGCGTCGTGTGTCCAAAATTTGTCCAAGATTTTGATAAAGCCCTTTCAAAATACTGTTTGTTTGATTTATTTTCTGCCATAAAGCATAAAAGAAAAAGAAATTCGAAGAAATCGATAATGGAATTTGTACGTGCGTTTGACCTAAAGTTTATATTAATTGTCGCCTTGACCGAGCTATTTTTAAAACTGTTGTTTATGTAAACTTGCAACCAATCAAAATCCTTCATGATGCTGATCAACCAATCAGATTTCCCGTCCACCAGATGGACGGGAATCCCACACTTTAGATAGGTTTTGTGTCAGGCCCTATTCTGTGATTAGGGCCTGAACTTCAGGTTAAGAGGTGAGTGGCAGATCTTGCCTGATTTGTTAGAGGGGGTGGAGGTTTTCCAAAGGGGGATGTAGTACTACGGGGTCCAGGGGCATTCATGAATTTGAATCCCTGAAATGTCATTTCCTGTATTCTGAGCACTATATTTATTCGTTAAATTTGTTCTCACAAAATGCTACTTTATACGGTGACCCACTGTATTGGTGTTTGAATATTTTCTCACATATTTTGAAAATCAATCATTTCAATATAATTGGTATTCACATCTTAAATATGGAATACCAGAGTTTTCTTCCAGGGGATGCTGGACACCACTAGGGCGGGGGGTGCACCATACTGGTTTCTCCAGGCACTCCATTTGGGGGGCCAACAAGATAAAACCTCTAGGGGGAACAGTTTAAAGCTGATAATTATCCAGTATAAATAAAGTTAGTTTACAGCTACCCTAATTACCTGTGTTTGGCCTCGCCAAAAGATACACGCCATCCACCTTAGCGACAACTGGTTCCAAATAAAGATTTTTCCATGGAATTTTTAATATAAGCTGACCTGTTAGTAATACAATAATTATTATTTATATTCCATATAATTAAAATTTGTGCACTTGAATTTATTGCAAATCCTTCAATGCACTTACCTAAGTGGCCCCTTAGCACTTTCACTGGCAAATCAAGTTCATCCTGGATGTACAAAAAACAGGGGTTTTTTGTTGTACCAACTGAACATATACTAGCTGTACAGTACTATAATTTTGAGATCATGGTGACTGCACAATCCTGTGTCGCCTAACAATGCAAAATTCACTAATGCGAGGGCGTGTCCAGAATTAGAGAGGAAGAGATTAACTATTAGAGAGCATCCGAGGCCTGTCAATTGTCATGCATTTGGCATGAAAGTCATGCATGTTAGCATTTAAATCTTGGTCTTTCAGACCAACATGACCTAAAGTCACAAATTTTCACATGTCTTCTGTGCTCAGAAGATCAAGTCTTGGTCAAATTCATATAAGCAATTCCATTAGAGAAGCATATTTTGTGAATGAATTTATACGGCAGTAATGCTCAAAAGTGCAAGATATTACAAATTCCTATCTTGCATACTTGGCAGGGATGGAAGGATACTGGTGAGGGGGAGGGGGGGTCATACACCCCACGGGGTGCTGAATGTTTCAAGAAATGCACATGCTACTCCAGAAAATCTCATGCAGCTCTAACCAGATCCAATTCCAGAATAAATAGGAGAAAGCAAACAGGGCATTAGAGGTTTGCAATGGGGGGGATGAGGGTAAAAGCACTTCAAAGATCTGGGGAAAATTCCACACATCAAAAGATCCCTGATTCCAGTATAATTATTTGTTCAAGTTGGTGTTTGTTTCATCCATCTGATTAAGAGGTTACTGATACTTATCAACATTTTCACAAGTATACAAACAGTATGGTAAGGGAGAGGGTGTTAATGACAATGTACACTTTTTAAAATGTCCATGATAGCATATGTTCTGGGAGTGGAGTAGATAAAGAGTACTCTCTGTATGCTTGTGAAAATGTTGATAATTATGGACGATCCTTAAGAGAAAATCTCTTACAATGGAATCAAAAGCACTAAAGCAATTCAGATTTATTCAGATTTATTCTTGAGCCCCCCAATATTGATTTACTTCTGGCAGCCTTGAATCAAAATCAATTATCATTGGATCAACATGCAATCTTCTGATCAACCATGTCCTGACTTGTCAACAAACATGCAAGTTACCCCATTGATTGTTTTCTATGTTACATATTACATTAACTAGATGCAAGCAATTTAATATTTAACTTCATGTACGAATGCTTTCCAGATATTTATTAATCACAGTAAACGTACGACCAGGCGATTTAAAACATATTAATCAAGAGCAAATCAATAAAAACTGAAATACAACTGCTCTCCGATAGAGTAGTATTAGAATATGTTGTTTTAAAAGAGATGAAAAAGACAGTATCTTTATTTTAGCTTAGTATTGAATTCAGCGACAAATAGCGTGCATTATTTATGCATAGAATCTGCTAGATGATAATTTACCACAGATAAACAAACAAGATATTTAAAAGAACAAAATACGTCTTTTAATCTTTTATCATAAAAATAATCCTAATTCTAAAGCCTTACCAAAGCATTTTCTTTTAAAACTAAATTTTCAAGCTTTACATCGCCTAAACAAGGCAAAATACGAATGCAAAACAGTTAAAAGGGGAAAATATTTTATTCAATTTTATATGCATGCGAAGTCACGAGGGATGGGGAAATTTAAAAGACATATACAGACCTCCCCAGATACTCATTTGAAATTGCGAAGCGTCCAAATTTTCGACATACTGTCCAAGAAATTTGTTCAAAATGCTGACAACGTAGCTCTCGAAAACCATTTTCACTTGCTTTCTGCAAAATCATGAGAAAATATGGAAGTTTCTGGTTTCGTTTTCCGACGTGTCCGCTCCCAAAACAAATGCACAATTGAGGACCTGTTAACCGGGTAAATGTCCCCTCATCGAGTAAACAGTTCCGGTACCTAAAATGGCATTTTATTCTGAAATCAGATTCTGAAATACAGTTTTAACAGTAAGATTTAGTCAAAATACGACACTATACTTTGAAAATAATACCGTAATAATTTATAGGTTTTTGCTTACACCTGTACGACGGGTGTTTTATACTGTAACCCGACTGATTCACATCATTCACTATTTCAGTCAATCCATAGTGGTCAATCACAATCCTATAGTTGGGGAAACAAAAAATATAAATATCATTAAGAAAATGACTTTTATGTCTTAGTCTTAGGTAAATATGTACTGGTAGCTATATCATTTATGTGCATAGTTTTTCGCCAATATTTTTCTGTCCACAAAAATTGTAACACTCTGTTATATTTTCTTACCTTACGACTTTTTGAACTCCATTGAAGTACTCCTGTGTTGACGGATAACGGTCCACAATTTTTATTAAAACGAGCCACAAACAGCCTGGCCACAAGACTGTAACGATGGTAATGAGATCTACAATTATCTAAAACGACCTAAAGTGCGACACAAAAAGCCACAAAGAGCCTGATAATAGGCCAAAAACTGACCAAGAAATTAACTCTAAATACTTTCAAAGGCTTCGTTTTGAAGACTTTTACGGCTGTGGGTAATGAATCATAAATTATATAATGGACTTTTGTCTCGATTCAGCGTTATTAAAAGCCCAGATCAAACTAGCCTTTGTTGCATGAGAGTTGCCAATTACGCAACCTTGATTAGCTGTTCTTAATGCTTTCCTAACGCGATCATTTATTCTAGATTTATACTTAAAACATAGTTCAGTGAAACACTTATCAGCCAAACTTTTATTTTCTAATCTAGAGCTTGAAATGTCCCTGTAACAATACGTGACTGCCAATAGACAATTCCCATTATAGACTAATTTTAAAACTAGGCAAGGAGATGCAAATAAATCACCACAGCTCGAAAGAACATACTAAAATAAGCGAGTAAAATTGCAAAGTTTGGTTGCGAAATGTTATAAAATGCGGAAAATTTAGCCTTGCAAAGTTTGCAAATTTTGTACACTTTTGTATGAGGGTCCTGAAGGGTCCAAATCCCATTTCCCACCTGAAATTTTGGCAAAATCCCAGTCCCAGTTGGATTTTTATTAGAAATCCCAGTCCCAGTTATTGAAATCCCAGTCAATAAAAAAACCTTTATTTATTGGTAGAATAAACAGTTTTAAGACCTTTTAAGCAAGTGACGGACACGTTATGAAATACGAGGGGGGCTCGTGCCAAAGGCGCGGAAAACTTTTAAATTTGAATCCCGGAAATGGCATTTGCAGCATTCTGAGACACGCATAATCAGAAAATCCAGAATTCCGGGCGCCAGAGTATGCCTGTTCGCAGGTAGTGCTGTGAATAATATAGTTAGCAACAAAAATCATGACCAAAGACACCAAAAACGGATTTTAAAAACATTGTATTGTATTTTAAAATACTCAAAACGCAGAAAAATTGGGAATCGACTCGCATTACCTCAATCCCATTCCCATTTTTGAGGACTTCATTTCCCATTCCCAGTGGCCAAATCCCAGTCCCAGCAACCCAAATCCCATTTTCCCAGTCTAAAAATAGATCAATCCCAGTTCCCATTTTACGGGATTTTTACCCCTTCAGGGCCCTCTTGTATTGCGCGCGGAAATTGCTAGTGGTAGGAATTTCCGTGATACAAAATTTGCAAACTTTGCAAGGCTATATTTTTCGCAAGGCTATATCTTAAAGTTTCTTTTTATTAATAGTGAGCTACATATCCTTACAGTTTTAAAGCTTTCTAAGCATTTTTACAAAGGTTTAAAAATTCACTATCTCGTGGATAGAGGTATCCGTAATACCATCTTGTAAAAAACAGGCAATTATATAGTTACATATGCATTAGTCAATATTATTAATTAATTATTTATTCACATATTACATTTTCAAATTACTCACATCTCTAGTTACCCCCTCAGGCTCAGTGTTCTCATAATGTTAGTCAGGGACGCCGGAACTGGGGGGGGGGCAGGGGGGGGGGGCGGCTGCCCCCCTTGCCTTTTGCTAGGGGGCAGGGGGGGCAGAAGTGCCCTTTTAGTTGTAAAATAATACGTGATAAATCACATTTCCAACGATGCTTTTTGTAGGAAAATCACGAGATTCAGGTAATTTATAGTTTATATTTATAAAAATTTTGGGAAATTTTTGGAATTTAGAAAAATATTTTGAAGAAATGGCGAAAATTTAAGATATCCGGAAAAATTTTTGGCTTCACGGAAAATTTTTGTATGTCCGGGAAAAATTTTTGACCCCTAAAATGGTACACTGACCGAAATTTTTTTGGCCCCCCTTTGACCTATTGTCGTTCCGGCGTCCCTGATGTTAGTCATAAAACAAAACAAACCTATTTTCCCGCCATTTTTGGGGTAGCCTCTCCCACGTTTGAGAGTCTCCGCACCACGAAATACAACTTTTTAGTATTATAGTTGTTTGTATAATGACAAATTTATACTTTTAAAAGTCGCTTTTCACGTTGTTTGAATTGTCTAGAATCTTTCACGAGGGCAGACAGTACCCTGAAAATGGCGGATTTTGGCGTTCCTGAGAAAGACTATTAAATGCCTAATGGACCTATTACCTAATGAACAAAATTTTGATCTAGACAAATCTAGACAAAAATTTCATCACAACTTGAAAGAGCATCACAAAATTAGTAATATTCCGAAGTTTCGTTGCGAAATGTTGTAAAATGCGGATAATATAGCCTTGCGAAGTTTGCCGTTTTTCAGTCATTGCAAACGGGAAATTGGTACAGCTTTCTGAAAAAAGGTAAACTTCGCAGGGAAATTTTTGTCTAGACTTGTCTAGATCAAAATTTTGTTCATTAGGTAATTTATAGGTCCATTGGGTGACAACGCCCATTAGCATGTGCTAGTGTTATATGATAAGGCCAGCATTCTAAAAATGTTGATATTTTATTGTCATTGTCAATTGCTAATTCAACTTTTCCTTGTCTGTGGAATTTTTATTGCATTTTTCATCGAATGCAAGCAATCCCAGCGCTTTGAGAGGCATATCATCTAACAAGTAATCACAGTTCTTTTCCAACTCTTCCGATGCTCTTTTGAACGAGTCGAATCTTAGTCCAATCAAGAAATCAATGTTCGTATCATCATCACTTGGGTTCCCTGTGTCTGAATCCTCTGTAACACTCTCTGAGCCAGCTGTATGATTAGACCCAACCAGTGGTTTCACTTCAGAGCATCCTTCTACTTCATCTTGTGTGATTACATTGCATGTGTCCTCACGAGCATCTGCTAGACTTTGAGCAGCCTTTTTAAGTTTGCCCAACAGCCGACAAATTTCGGTCAAAACTTCAAAATTTTCCAACAGGATTTGATCGATTTGACTTAAGGTCTCGTCAAGGATTTTGAATTTTTCCGCGTACTTTCGGAATAGTGCCTCGACAGTAGCAAAAGGCAGACCGCCTGCCATACCACCCACGACACAGCCACCGATAAGGCCTAAAGCCCCACCCGCTATTGCACCAGGAACACCAAAGACACACAGGGCTTTCGTTGCAACTTGAAATGCAGCAAAGGTACCGCCAACACCCATGCCTCCAAGAAGACCAACATTGGCACCCTGTAGGAATAAAATTTATATAATAACTACAGTGAAACACGCAATTGATTGGTCATCAATAGCCATGCAGAATCAGGCTATCCTGCACGAGGAATTAAACTGCCTTCGCGGGATTTTTGCGGGATTCTCAAAATGTCATTTGTTTCACTGTACATAGTTATATTTATAAAACAATTACCAAATGGTTTTCCAAGCAGGATAGCATGATCTGTGCACTTGGGATTTTGCTCGAATTTTGGAGAGCGTAAAAATACACTCGCCTGCGGCTCGAGTATTTTAATTTTACGCTTTCCAAAAGTCTCGCGACATCCCTTGTGCATGGATCACGCAATCCTGCACGGAAAACCATTCGGTATTCCTTTAGTACAAGGATTGATAGTTATTATACAAGCTGCGTATATATTAAGGTCATATAAACTAACTGGTAAACTGTCCGACCAAACCAACCACCTGATTCTTAGCATATCATTTAACCTTTTAAGTGGCAATGTGCCCTGATGTGCCCTGCTTTACTCTGTCTAACACCAGACAATTTTACTCACCAAGGAAAAAGTGCTGCCACTCAATGGGTTAATTAGTTCAAATCAGACACTACACTGACTGCAAAGAATCCCAATGGGTCTTTCCAGAAAACATTGGAAATTGGAAATTAACCCCTCTACCCCATTCGAATGTCCAAATACATATACTACAATTGTTGAAACAAATTTTTCTCCACTCCCTGTCTGGACTGCAGAAATTTCCTCCATGGGGGGAGTGTGGATCTTTTCTGGAATGACCCAATTAGGAAAAAAACTTACTCTACCTTTTCAGCCAAATCAGCTTTGTGTTCATTTCTCTCGTAACCAGCTTTCGCCTTGCTGCAACAGTCTTTCACTTTGTAAATAACGACATCATATTTTTTCCTCAGCTCTTCAGAACTAGTTTGCGACTCTTTTACTGTTGCTTCAATCTCGACAAAATAATTGGAAACATTGTTTCCCTTTAACACTTGTTGTTTTGCCTCTTCGATAATTTTGGTGTTCATCTGTGCTTGTTCTTTGACCGTTCTGATGTGGGATTTTGTTTCAACATCAAGCTTTTTGTACTGTACTGCAAGCGCTGATAACACCTGGTCATAAAAAGAGTTCTAGGTTGAGGTTATATTTTGACTTATGAGTTACAAAAGAAACCCAAATATAAGGTTAAGTTCACCAAATAGTAATGCCTAATAAGAGGCAAGTATAAAGTCATACGGGATCACTAGTCAAACTAGACTGGACCCAATCCTAATCCCCCAAGCATAACCCCAAACCTAACCTGACCCTTTGTGGACAAGTGATCCGGTGCAACTTTTATGCCTTTCGCCTAATGAGGGACAATTATCCATGTTACCTTAAGCAAATCATCATATTTGCCATGTTCTTCTTTCAAGCTACAAATGACCGCCTCTAGTAATTCAGACACTTTGTTTAGTTGATCAAGTGCAAGGATCCCTTTTCCTAGCGTTGTGTATGCTGTCACAGTGGATTGAAGTAATGGGGGGATTAGGGCTTTAACATTCTGTTGTGTCACTGCCATTGCTGCATGATCAGATCAGACCAGAGTCATTCTCTAAAATAATTTAAAATTTGTTATAGGGGTGCACCGGTTAGTTCCAGCCAGAACCCCAATTTTTCAGAGTTCCGGTTCCGGCCGAAACTAATAAAAAAAGCATGGCCGGAACCGGATCTCTGTTATTTTTAGAGAGATAGAATATCAAATGTTTTTGTGTCTAGCAAAAGTTCACAGTGGGAATTAGAAATTTGGACTACACAAGAAAAATATACACTACTAAAACTTCATTATGATGTTTAACGTACACTGTATGTCAATTCTAACATTTGCGAGCTCTCTCCTTGATGACATGAAGTGTCTGCCTATCTGGCAGCAGACGAAGTAACATATGACCAGATATGACTATATATGGCTAGCCTGCGAACAGGCTCTCAAGCTGAATTGAGATTGTTGAACAGTCATTTCAGCTTGAGAGCCTGTTCGCAGGCTAATATATGGCTTACTAAATCAGTTCCGGTTCCGGCTGGAACTTCTGGCCGAAACTTTTTTCCAGTTCCGGCCAGATCCAGTTCCGGCCGGAACTTTAAAAATTGGTTCCAGTGCACCCCGAATTTGTTACACTTGGGAAAGATAATCATGGGCAAAGAAAATATAGTATGTGTGATCATTTGTCTGTGTATAATAAACACAATTTGACAGACAAGTCATCCACCAATGAACATGTGTGTGATGATGGATGGCCCATCAGTGTATAAATTCAGCATTAGACAAACTCCAGATCTTTGCCAAAAATCGACCATAAAATTGAAATCTTCATGGTCAGATTAGTCTGCATCAAAAATTGTTGAAAATAAAAATGTCACAACCTGGATGATCAAAAATCTTCGCTGTGGACTATACATTTGAGGATGCAGATTTCAATTGACCATTTGCGTAATAGACTAAATTTTGATCTAAACAAGTCTTGACAAAAATTTCATCACAGCTTGAAAGAGCATCACAAAATTAATGATATTCCAAAGTTTCGTTGCGAAATGTTGTAAAATGTGGATAATATAGCCTTGCGAAGTTTGCAATTTTCAGTCATTTTAGATTACAAATGGGAAATTGACAGCCCCAAAGGGTATTGGGCTGTCAATTTCCCGTTTGTAATCTAAAATGACTGAAAATTGCAAACTTCGCAAGGCTATATTATCCGCATTTTACAATATTTTGCAACAAAACTTTGGAATATTACTAATTTTGTGATGCTCTTTCAAGCTGTGATGAAATTTTTGTCTAGATCAAAATTTAGTCTATTACGCAAGTGGTCAATTCTGGAGAAAATTTCTGCTATTAAAATATTTTATATGAAGATGAAAAATTGGAAATTGGAAAATCAGAGAATTCTAGCTAGTTCTTCCGGATAGTTCATCTGCTTACACAAAGACTGATGATCTGTCAGACTGAGGATATGTCTTTATAGATTATTTGTTTCTAGTTATATTAAAAAATCAGACATAATATTGTCAAGACCATGCATATGCTATTAAACATGTTATGAAACAACAGTACACAAGTAATTACTGTATCTGACAATACATATAATACATTTATAAAATTATCATGTAAAAAACGTACAAATTACCTGAAAAACACAACAAAAATCGCCCTTTAAAAATATTTTAATTTTAAAAAATGCAACTACGTTGTAAATAAATATTTACGTTAATTCATGAATATGTATTTCTGCAAGTATTTGGATCCTTCAGAAGCTTATCGGAACGACATCGACTAATCTTCGGGTGGGTACGATGGTCCATTCAAAAACTTTAAATAGGATTCAACCCGTTTTATTAAAAGCTAGAAACTTACTTTTTTTCCAATAAATCAACCAGATGTCTAGTACTAAATAAAGTTTGTAATAGCAGCAGAAAAGAACAGAAAAGTGGGTTTTTGAAACTTTTCTTGGTATACAAAAAAAAGCTGAATACTTTCAGCGTATCCAATTTGCTATAAATCGTATGAGGGATAATTTCAATATGGCGGCCTGAAAACGTCAAAATAAACATTATTTTTCATCAAATTTACGCTAAAATGACCCATTATGAAACTAAAAAGATCCTTAAATACATCAAGAAAGGTTCTGTATCTAAACTAAGAAGTTTTCTAAGGAAGAACGACGTTAATTTGAACGAAATACGTGATTCTGAAAACAGAGGAGTGCTGCATTTATCCTGCTATTTGGGCGAATGTAAAATGTCGAGATTTTTACTTCGTTACGGAGTTGACCCTTGCCTCACGGATTGCGAAGGGAATACCCCTATACACATAGCCTTAAAATACGCCTTAGAATTCAACAATCAATCCGTGTTTTTGAATTTGATTTTGCCCTTGAAGAAAAGGTCAAAACGTGTAATGAATTTAGCAAATAAACTTGGGGAAACGCCAGGGGTACTGTATGACAAATTGAAAACAGAGTTGAGGAATGAATTATCAGATAAGGAGGAATTATTGGAAAGGGGGAAAAATGGGAAGAGAGAAAGAGAGACAAATGAATTTGAAGAGGAAAATAATTTTGAAGCTGAATGTGCCGAAAGGCTGGAACGACAAGAATGGTTTGAAAAATTAGCTTTTGAGGAGTCCTGTGAAGATTTTTATTTCAAGGTTGATCACGACTCATTATTGGATGAACAAGGTGAAACTTATGACCATTGGGCGGAAAGGATTAGGCGTGAACATAGCACAAAATATCAAAAGGTTACAGTGACTCGGAGTTCAACTACTGAAGCGAAAAAGCAAGAGCATTTGAAAATGAATGAAACGTTAACCAAAAAGCTTGCAAAAGAGCATGAGGAATATATAAATAACGTTAAACTAAAGCAAACTAAACGAAGAAAGGAAAAATATGAAGAGAACTGTCAAAATGTGTTTGAGTGTAGCAACACCGACCGGCTAACCTTCGAATCAATTCCTTGGCCATGTGCAGGGAGTGCTGCCGATATCGTGGACAAGCTATCCGAGTGGGCGGGCGTAGATAAGATTGGTTATTTGAAAGTACAAAGAGTAAGGTGGCACCCTGATAGGTTTGCTCAGAGATGTCGGCATCGGATAGAGAATGCTGAGAGAGAACGGATTATGGATCTCGTTAAGCAGGTCTCACAGGGAATAAATGTGATGATTAGTTCGTTGTAATATATTGTAAAATATAATTACATGTAAAGATAAATAAAGTGAATTTCTTGCAGTGTATAATAGCGTTACTTTACTGACTTGTTTAGACTAGATAGATTGACTATATCACAGTTCCACTGGTTCTAAACTGTTCTTCCTGGTTGCTTTATGCAATAAAATGTCTGTGATCACAGTAACTACAGTAGGATTTCTGCATCAGGTGTTAATTAAACACTCAGTCAGTTCCCTTAAACCTTTCTTGCAAATCCTTCAAAACTTAGATGCAAACCTAGCTAGATGCAAAATTTCTACTGCGATCACAGAAATGTTGATAACGTTAAGGCCCTGTCACACTATTGCGTATGAGAGAAACGTATGAGAAGCGTATGGAAATTAAGAGGCAATTTTTTTCAATGTCACGTACTTGCAATGATAAGTGTTCAAAACCTTTTTGGCGTTCCTCTCAAAATTACTTTGTTTTAGGTTTATCTCTAGTTTATAGAGTTAGCCACCTTTTTAAATGTACCATTTTTAAATGAGAAACATAAAATAATAGTTAAAAATTGTCAATTAAAATACAATTATCAATGTTGCTTTAAAATTGACGCCATATTTACAGCCATATAAGCAAAACTTACTGAACTTCAGACATCATTCCCTCTTTGGCGTATCATCTAAATCTCTTCATTTTAGCATTATTTTACAGATAAAACACTAAACATACTTTTCAGTTTGTTTGCCGATTGAGAAACGTATCGAAAAATAAAAATTTTGAATTTAGTCATAACCTCAAGTGATATATTATACGCATTAGTTTTGAGCGCGTAACATTACGTAACATACAAAAATCTCCTCTAAATTAATGAAATAATTTTCATACGCACAAAAATCCTTTGAAATGCCAGCGTATGAGTATCGTACTTCTGGCGTACCTCTAGCGTATTCAGCGTGTGCCTAGAGTATGCTTATCGTATAAACCATACGCACAAAATGTTTGAGCATGCTTAAACGCGACCGTGCTTGAAACGTATAAAATATTAAAATCTTTGCCTAACGTACCCCTAGCGTAATGTCAGCGTATACCGGCGTATGAGTGATATTTTTTATACACTGGCATACGCTTGTACGATACGCTGCACAGCAGTGTTTTGTAGAGTCAAATTGTTCCTGTATTCAAAGGAGGAACATTGATTCACAGTCCCTGTTAGCTTATATATAAAAATCTATTAATTCCATGTGTTTGTTTTACCAATGAATTCCAATTAAACTACTTAAATTTAATTAATTGACAAGAAAGCCTTCTTGAAAAGGGTCATTCTTCTCCACAGTAAATGTTGCTTTACCACAATAATTAGCCAGACCTTCAACCTCAACCAACACTGCAGGAAATTCACCACATTTTGTCTCCAGGATTGGGCTGGCTGTGAATGTGGATCCGGTGATGCTCTCGAACACTCGTGATTGGTTGAGTGAAATTTGATCTTTGTGATGCTGTACTGCAATGCGGGCTGTCGCACCTGACCCACAAGGGGAACGATCCACCTAGAAGTACGCAGAAACAAAAGAACGTCGTCGGTTTTGGTCACGGATTTGTTTTCAAATTATTAAGTGGCACAGAAAGGCAGTTAAACATAGTTTTATAATAGAAATCTGATCTTACTGAGGAAACAAATGTTTAAAATGTTGTCTTATTGCAGTATGTTAGAAAGGTGCTTAGTAGGGTTGAAAATTACTTTGTTATTGAGCCTAAGAACAGCAACAAACAAATTCGTCCAGGAAAACATGAGAATATAATCTTTATCTGCCCCATGTATCTGCCCCTGACATGTTAAAATAAGTTAACATGGAAACGAGGCCATTGGGTAAAAGAGCAGTAATCCGTAAGGCCTATTGACAGGGGATCTGAGGCACCTACGATTTTAACATCCTTACCAGAGAAGACGCGAAGTCTAACCATTTACTTATGTCATTCTCAATGTAAATGTATCACTTTCTCCCCAACTATTTAGTTAGGACTTTGAGTAAAGGTGCGACTAAAGATTGAGCCCGGTCTACCAGCTTGGTGACCACGCGATAAGTGCTGGTTTCTCGATTCCCACCCTAAAAATATTATTCCTAACCTATAGCTCGCCCATATCCTAATCTTTACCTGGCCATCACCAAAATAACACATATTACATGAGGGTTCATCTTTAAACTCGGCAAACTGATCCTTGCCATCAGTGACTATAACACCATACATAAACGCAAGATCTGGTTCCTCGGGGTGGCTCACCGTTAGTTTCTCACGACAAATTTCTAGAATCTCTTTTGCTGCAGTTGTAAGGTCAGAAGTACTTGACTTTCTGATATCTAAACCTAACTCCTTGTCTGAGATAAGCGCATAAAATGTTCCACCATAGCCAATGTCGAGGGTGACTTCACCATAGGATTTAGTTGGTAGTTTGACATCGACTGCAAACGCAAATGCTGGTACACTTGTGAATTTTACTTTGCCAGATTTACCATTGGTTACATCTACCATAGCCTTGACCAAACCACAAGGACACTGTATGTACACTGGAACACTGCAGGTCATTGATCTGTCTATCTTTACGTGGCCTAAAACAGGATAGGATTAAGAAAGAGGTTAGGAAATACCAGGATTAGATTGTAATTAAATTGACCCAAATTCATACTATAACTAGATTGGGCAGTAGTGAGACTCACAAATTTTCAGACAACGTTGTTGGCTAAGAGGGTTTATTCTGGAACCACAGAGGTGGGGCGGGGGAGGAGGGTAGAGGTGATGGGGAGTGGATGAGGGGAAAGTGGGGATGGAGGATGGGGGAGATGGAAGGGGAGGGATGGGGAAGGAAAGGAGGTGGAAGCCCCTAGAGTAAACAGCACCGGATATAGTAGCTAAACTAATCCTCGACACAGGCTCTGCCCACTTCCACTCCGAGATCACTGTTAAGTAACCTGAATCAACAGCATAACGGCCCAAAGCAATGACAGCATGACCACACATGATACTATAACCTCCATTATGCATAAACAAGACAGCTAGATCAGCTTGCTCATGATCAGGAGTTACCAACAATGCACCAAACATCTCCGAGTGTCCTCGTGGCTCACGCATCAGTAGCTTGCGAATGTAATCTAAATTCTCTGCTACGTATTTTCGTTTGGCTAAAATAGTTTCGCCCTTGATTTTGGGATAACCAGCAGTTATAATGCGCAGTGCCTCGCCACCAGTGTGCATGTCTACAACGGTTATCTCAAGGTTTACATCGTTGGTGACTTCAAGATTAGAATGGTTCACTAGGGAGGCAATGGGCATGGACATGGTTAATTATTGTTGTCGTTTTGTCGTGAAGCTGTGAAACGTATTAGAATAACAATGTAACTCATTATCATTAGACCATTAAACCTTGTTCAAATATACCTGCGGTATCCCGGCGAGCTATTGTCGTTAGCAGTTCAACCAAATAATTCACAAAAGAGTGTATGCATCAACAGCTGTGAACAATGATAGCGCTGGCATATCGCAGACATATGTGAACCATGCCAATAACATATTTTCATACAAAGTTGAGGGGAGTGAATATTCTGAACGCTTCGGCTTGTTGGGGATGAAACTACCTGAAAACACAAAGAGAGCTTTGACATTTCGAGCGAAGGCCCTAGCTTAAAGTTAGCGGGAAGTTAGCAGACTTGAAACGTCGAAGTCGTATTTTTCAGGTAGTTGTATCCCTATCAATCTGAAGCTTTCCTATTATTGCCACGACCTGACATGGACACAAGTCGTTCAAGCGTAAATATTCAATTAATAGTGCCGTATTCTAACCTGAATCAACAGCATAAGGGCGCGGTCATAAAGGCCATAAAGTAAAGGCTAGTTTCAACTCAGGAAATTATCCGTGGATTGGAACGGACAAGAAAATTTTTCTTTGTCTTGTGAGCTCTGGGTTGGAACTAATGACTTTAACACAAAGAAAAATTTTCTTGTCCGTTCCAATCCACGGATAATTTTCCTGAGTGGAAACTGGTGGCTTAATTTTCCTAAGTATGAAATAAATTTATCACTTTCAAGAGGGGGTATGAAACAAAATTTGTTTGTTTCAATACACGAATTGTGTTAATACAGTTTAATATAACGGCTCTATTCATGGTCCAAATAATTTTTTATACATCACTGCCATCGTTGTCTCATAAAAAATTTGAGCATTGCTCAGGTAGTCTCCCTTGCAGTTGCACTTTGTGTCGTGATTTTATTCCTCTTCATGAGCTCGTATGGAGGAGAACATATGTGATCCAAAGAACGGCTGTAAGAGTGACTATTGCACAGCATATTTAATACACAGTGTAATTTTTAAACTTGTCGTTCTACTGTATGATGGGGTATGAAACATTGAGATCGTTATCTTGATAGGGTACCAAATATTATCCGACAGTTTTTTGGGAGTATGAAATTTTGTTCACAAAATTTAAAATACCCCTCCACCCCGGGGGGTAGCACTTACTTTACGACCGCTCCATAACGGCCCAATACTGCAATGACAGCATGACCACACAGGACAGTATTACCTCTATTATGCATAAACAACGCGGCTAGACGATCAACTTTAACTTAGATTAGTTCATTGTAATATATTGTAAAATATAATTACATGTAAAGATAAATAGAGTGAATTTCTTGCAGTGCATAATAGCGTTACTTCACCATACTTGTTTAGACTGGATAGATTGACTATCATAGTTCCAATGGTTCTAAATTGTCCTTCCTGGTTGGTTTACGCAAATCAAAATTTCTGTGATCACAAACATTTCTTGCAAATCCTTCAAAACTTAGAATTTACTCATGCAAAATCCTACTGTGATCACAGACACTCCGATAGTGTCAACCAGCCTTTTACTACAGGATGAAACGGTTAACAGGAGAAAAGGGACCGGTCATAAAGTAATTACTAGAGGGGGGTGGAGGATAAATGAAATTTCAAGTACATATTTCCATACCCTCCCAAAAACCTATGGAAAAATTTTTGTAACCCTCTTCAATGTAAGTGAAAATTTTCATACCCCCCCCTCTTTCAATCATCAACAGGTTCTAATGGTGTGAGCTTGCTAGCATTGTCATTGACAATTCAGATGTATCAGATTTGTACTCCGAAAGTTCCACGGATACTGAATCCTGTACTTATCATCTGACATTGAGTCAGACTAAAATATCACAATACTTTGTGTTGATTTAATAATAAATTGGAATAAAACAATTCTTTCCAAACTTAAATCTGGGCACAAATACATTCAATATTCAACAATAATTATAAAATGTAATTTTTTTCCGTACCTATAGTACTAAGATTTTGGTACCCCCTATAAGTTCTGTTGTTTTTATTCGTACCCCCTCAGAGGTTCTGGGTTTTTTTCGTACCCCCCAAAAATATCCTCCACACCCCCTAGTAAATACTTTATGACCGGTCCCTAAACACTCTGCAGTGTTGGTAAAGTGAAACTGTTCCTCTATTCAAAGGAACATTGATTCACAGTCCCTGTTAGACGAGACTTTTTTTATTTATTGGTTGACGGATTTTACTTGAAAAAAAAAACAGGTCGGTAGGTCGGAAAATGTTTTTAAAAAACATTGTTTTTCAAGATTGTCGCAACGATAACATGAGTCAGTAGTACTTAGAGTCAACGTTTACTTGGCGTGTACATCATGTCACAACCCAAAATTAACTAAAATCGTAAAATTGTTAACATCCAATTTTTTCAGTTATTTTTCACTTTCTGAATATTCACGGTTGGTGGATCCGTAAACCAATGAATAAAAAAAGTCTAGGCTTAACTTACATATAAAAATCTATTAATTCCATGCGTTTGTTTTACTAATGAATTCCAATTAAACTACCTAAATTTAATTAATTGACAAGAAAGCCTTCTTGAAAAGGGTCATTCTCCTCTACAGTAAATGTTGCTTTGCCACAATAATTAGCCAGACCTTCAACCTCAACCAACACTGCAGGGAATTCACCACATTTTGTCTCCTGGATTGGGCTACCTGTGAACTTGGACCCGATAATGCTCTCAAACTCGCGTGATTGGTTGAGAGCAATTTGACGTTTGTGATACTGTACTGCAATACGGGCCGTCACACCTGACCCTGTGGGCGACCGATCCACCTAGAGGTACGCAGAACTTGGTTTTGGTCACAGATAAATTTGTTAATTATTAACTTGTCAAACATTTAAATACATAAATTGAGTTGAAATAAATTGAGTTTATTGAGTTTCTCACTCATTGGTGATGCATGATTTAGGGTGTAGTATCGGGTATATACTTGGGTAACAGTGTTACAAGTGTTAAGTTATTTTTATTTAGGGTGGGGTTAGGGGTGGGGTTAGGGTTAGTGTGTGTAACACTATGTAACACAGTGGGGTTAGGGGTGGTGTTAGGGGTAGGGTTAGTGTGTGTAACACTACATAACACTATGTAACATGGTGGGGTTAATTAGGGTTAGGGGTGGGGTTAGGTTGTGTAGCACTATGTAACACTATGTAACACTTGTAACACTTGTAACACTGTCAGCACTCTGTAGCACTGTGTAACACTATGTAACAATGTGTAACACTATGTATTATTATTAGGCCAATTCCCACCCTAATGTTATTCCTAAAGCTCACCATATCTTAATATATACCTGGCCATCACCAAAATAACACATATTACATGAAGGTTCATCTTTAAACTCGGCAAACTGATCCTTGCCATCAGTGACTATCACACCATACATAAACGCAAGATCTGGTTCCTCGGGGTGGCTGACCGTTAGTTTCTCACGACAAATTTCTAGAATCTCTTTTGCTGCAGTCGTAAGTTCGGAAGTACTTGATTTCCTGATGTCTAAACTTAATTCCTTGTCTGAGATAAGTACATAAAATGTTCCACCATAGCCAATGTCGAGGGTGACTTCACCATAGGATTTAGTTTGTAGTTTGACGTCGACTGCAAACGCAAATGCTGGTACGCTGGTGAATTTTACTTTGCCAGATTTACCATTGGTTACGTCTACCATAGCCTTGACCAGACCACAAGGACACTGTATGTTCACTGGAACACTGCAGGTTGTTGATGTGTCTATGTTTACGAGGCCTAAAACAGGATAGAGTTAAGAAAAAGGTTATGAAATATCAAGATTACATTGTACTCAGTTAAATTGTCCGCAAATTTATACTATAAGCAGATTTAATATTCTATGATAGGTGGGTCAATACTAAGCATTAAGATGTAGTCTAATCTTGTGCCGCCCCCCCCCCCTCCCCCCTCTAAACACACTCGGGTGGGGTCTTAATTAATATTCAAACCTGAATCAACAGCATAACGGCCCAAAGCAATGACAGCATGACCACACATGACACTATAACCTCCATTATGCATAAACAAGACAGCTAGATCAGCTTGCTCATGATCAGGAGTTACTAACAATGCACCATACATCTCAGAGTGTCCTCGTGGCTCACGCATCAGTAGCTTGCGAATGTAATCTAAATTCTCTGTTACGTATTTTCGTTTGGCTAAAATAGTTTCGCCTTTGATTTCGGGATAACCAGCAGTTATAATACGCAGTGCCTCGCCACCAGTGTGCATGTCTACAACGGTTATCTCAAGCTTTACATCGTTCGTGACTTCGAGCTTAGATTGCTTCGCTCCGGAGGCCATCTTGAACACATTGACCGGGGGGTTGTTTATTTATTTTTATTTATTTATTTATTCATGCCACAAGTCTGATAATTTCGACAAGGTTGTTACAAGTTGTCAACAAGTTGTTCCAAACCTGTTGACAACTTGTGCCAAGCAGTGCGAATACATCTTGTTAACGGCTTGTTGGCAGACTTGTTACAAGATGTGAGATTTTTACGTGTGTAGTATTGTACGCACGTAAAAACGCACAATTAGTTGTTACAGGTCTGCAAACAAGTTGTTACAAATCTGTTCACAAGCTGTCAACAAGTTGTGTTCGCACTGCATGTTCCCAGTTGTTGTAACAAGTTTGGAACAAGCTGTTAACAACTTGTAACAAGCATGATGGCATTATCAGACTTGTTACAAGGTTGTTCTGACAAGTCTGATACAGTTATGATATAAGAGGGTCCTGAAGGGGGGGGGGGGTATTCCCATTTCCCAGCCCAAATTTTGACTAAATCCATTGTCCCAGAGCACAAATCCCATCATCTCAGTGGCTGTCCTGCTCAAATCTTAATCTCGTTCCCATTTTCTATTGTTTTTTTTTCCGATGAATCCCAGTCCCAGTGCATGAAATCCCATTTTCCCACCCAAAAATAAGCAAATCCCAGTTCCTATTTTACCCCTTCAGGACCCTCATATAACAAGAATGTTACAAGGTTGACGACACAAGGTTGTAACAATATTGTTATATCATGACTGTATCAGACTTGTTAGAACAACCT